AGCTTTTGCAGAAACATAAAGGAGCAACACCTTTTTAGTCAGGTTGTCAAAGTATTTCAGATATTCAATTTGCAACAATTATATAAATGAAGAAAAACATATGTATTGAAGAATTATAACTTCTGCTAAGTTTGTTTGACAAAAGAAAGATATTTTGTGAAACGAAATAAAATTCAGTATCTGTCTATAAATAAAATTCTAATATTTTTTCCATGATTAGTAATAAAAAATAACTAATTTGAAAAATTCATCTTGATAGTAACTGTTAATTTTTAAACTATGGTATGACTATACAGTTAAATTTTAATGACTGGAATCATTTCATAGTAAGTCAACTGCCATATTAAGATGGCAACATTCTTAAATAGCCACATCAGATCTAGACTCTCATATGGATGTCATGTATGGCATCCAACTCATTCAGAAATGTCTAAACTATCATCTCTATACAACCAATTCATATTCTATTCTTAAATAGCCTCATCAGATCTAGTCTCTCATATGGGTGTTATGTCTCGCATCCAACTCATTCAGAAATGATCTCTATACAACCAATTCAAATCGTGTTCTTAAATAGCCACATCAGATCTAGACTCTCATATAGATGTCATGTATGGCATCCAACTCATTCAGAAATGTCTAAACTATCATCTCTATACAACCAATTCATATTCTATTCTTAAATAGCCTCATCAATCTACTATCATCCAACTCATTCAGAAATGTCTAAACTATCATCTCTATGCAACCAATTCAAATTGTGTTCTTAAATAGCCTCATCAGATCTAAACTCTCATATGGATGGATGTATGGCATCCAACTCATTCAGAAATGTCTAAACTATCATCTCTATACAACCAATTCATATTCTATTCTTAAATAGCCTCATCAGATCTAGTCTCTCATGGATGTCATGTATGGCATCCAACTCATTCAGAAATAAACCATCATCTCTATACAACCAATTCATATTGTGTTCTTAAATAGCCTCATCAGATCTAGACTCTCATATGGATGTCATGCATAGCATCCAACTCATTCAGAAATATCTAAATTATCATCTCTATACAACCAATTCAAATTGTGTTCTTAAATAGCCACATCAGATATATGGATGTCATGTATGGCATCCAACTCATTCAGAAATGTCTAAACTATCATCAATTCATATTCTATTCTTAAATAGCCTCATCAGATCTAGATCTCATATGGATTGTATGCATCCAACTCATTCAGAAAATGTCTAAACTATCATCTCTATACAACCAATTCAAATCGTGTTCTTAAAGCCACATCCTAGACTCTCATATAGATGTCATGATGGCATCCAACTCATTCAGAAATGTCTAAACTATCATCTCTATACAACCAATTCATATTCTATTCTTAAATAGCCTCATCAGATCTAGTCTCTCATATGGATGTTATGTATCGCATCCAACTCATTCAGAAATGTCTAAACTATCAAATGTCAATTCAAATTGTGTTCTTAAATAGCCTCATCAGATCTAAACTCTCATATGGATGTCAATGGCATCCAAATTGTAAATATCATCTCTATACAACCAATTCTTAAATAGCCTCATCAGATCTAGACTCTCATATGGATGTCATGTATGGCATCCAACTCATTCAGAAATGTCTAAACTATCATCTCTATAAAATCAATGCAAGTTGTGTTCTTAAATAGCCTCATCAGATCTTGGCTCTCATATGGATGCAATGCCTGGTGCCAAACCAGGTCAGAAACTATCTAAACTGTCAGCTGTATACAACAGCTTCGTAAGAACAATGGTGAAAAAATGCTTTGAGCGAGTGGAGCCTGATGGGTTTGGCAAAGGTCATCCTTCTTTGAACATTGTGGACTGGCACGATGACTTTCAACAGCATCAACAACTGAGATGGATAACACATGTAACTCAAAGAGAAAATAATGACATAATCAAGATGGTAACATTCCACACCAATTCAAATAAAAGGTTAGGAAAGAAGCCCCCATCAATGCTACAAAGAAGAGTGATAATGTAGGAAATTCAGTCATTCAGGTTTTTTATATTAAAAATCTGAACATCCAAATTCCAATTGTAGGGTTTTAGATAGAACTTTCCACCTAGCGAGCAGATAAGTGCAGTGAGTTAATGCCCTTGGCACCTAGGATGGATTAAGGCTCTTGTCAGATACCAGTCTGGCTCAAAGAAGAGGCTAGAGCAACACATGCTACAACCAACGTCCAGACTCACACCATAAGGAACAAAGATATTCATAGATGGTAGTTGACCCCCACCTTCACCTCACCTTAGCTCAAAAGGTACTCAAAAGGTAAAAGGCACAAAGATATTCATAGATGGTAGTTGACCCCCCTCACCTCACCTCACCTCAAAAGGTCCTCAAAAGGTAAAAGGAACAAATATATTAATAGATGGTAGTTGACCACCTCACTTCACCTAAGCTCAAAAGATAGAGATCTTATAGAGTGAAAACCTCATTGACTGTAATTATGTCAAGTTATATTGTATTTTACATTGTTGCATTTAATAAAAATGGTAAACATATTTTGGTACCCTTCTTTTCATTTCCCTTTAGTACCTTGTATTCTTTTTTGGTAGCTCTTTTAGATAGGGAACAGTTATAAAACAACAATCCAACACAATAAAATAAAAATAAAGAAAACATGGTTAAGCATGTCAAATAAATCATTTCTATTTACAAACATATGTACATGAATTCAAAAATGATTAAACATAGTCTTTAGTTGTGTTAAAGTCTTTGGATAGTCGTTTCACGGGAAAATCTGTGGTTTAGAAAAGACTTAGTAATTGGTTCACAGTCAAAGCTGTAGCTGAAAAAAAATACTTTATTGTTAGCAAAGATTCACTGACCATCTTTGTTGTTGTTAGAAAGGATTCCTTTGAAGTTGTTGACTGGCTGTACTTGCTATTATAGCTGATTCATTTAAAGTTGCTGACACAGATTTCTCTCCACACAAGCTGGAGGGGGACAGTTTGATCTCTTGTGTCTGAACAGCCTGGACACAGATGTATATCTTCCCTTTAAAAGTCAAAATCTGTGGGTTTTTATAAGAATTTTTTAGGTAATTTGCTTTTTAAGCCCTGCGTTAAATATGTAATAAAAAATTGCTGAATGCTTATATTTAGCTTTATGCTTAATTTGAAAATAACAAAGAAATTTTGATAAAATCTATCATTTTGGAGTTATCAACAATAAAAGTTTAGACTCATTCGTGCTTTAGCATGGTAGCCATTACTAGCGTTGTTTACATATATTTGCTGCGGAACAGTCTTGATTATTGTGCATGCAATGAGTCCTCAGTTGCGCAGTAATTGAATCAACTGAGAACTGTAAAAAGGCTATTAAGAATGTAATCTTCCGCACAAATCTAATCAGAAGTGAATGTATGCAAACAATGCCAGTAATGGCTGCCATGCCGTAATGCGAATGAGTCCGAAATTTTATTGTCGATAACTCCTAAACGGTAGATTTCAGCAAAAATTTCTTTGTTATTTTCAAATTAAGCATGTAAACTTACACCTAAATCTAGCTATTTGGCAAATTGTTATTACATATTTAGCATGGGGCTTAAAAAGCAAATTACCTGAAATTTTTCCCAGAAGTAGGTTTGAGAAAAATAGGGTTTTAGTTTTCTCTGATTGGCCAAATATTTAACATGGCATTGTTGATTTCTAGCCAATAGATACATTGATTTAAAAGGTGTATGTTGTATTGTGGAATCTCATTTGTAATATTGGGTTTTAATATGGTATGTATGTGGGTATGTAATTGTGTTGGAAATAGGGTTTATTTCCTATAATTACAACTATTGGACTTTAGAAACCTGTTTTTCTAAAAAAAATTGTTTCAAGAGAAAGATTTTATAAATTTTATCTGAAAGCAGTACTGACTACTCAGTCAAAGAATTTCCTTGTAGGGAAAGGGCTAATATTACCATTAGCATTTCTGAAAAAAAAAAAGGTGATTTAACTGAAGGCTTATTATTTATTTCTTATCTGTGTTCATCACTAAATGCAAAATAACAAAGAGTTGCAATAAAAAATAACTGAAATTAAGATGAAAGAAAAACTAGAACTTTCTGTCAGAATTTTCCTTTTCACTAGTGAATAGAAGGTGATGAACTGCACGCACACATCTGAGGCAGAACTTAAGACTCTAACAAAGAACTACTTCTTTGGAGTATTTGAAATAAAATCAGTTACATTGTAGATTATCTCCCTTGAGATCTGAGAAATAAAATTGAAAAAATAATGTTTCTGAAAGTTTAACCGACTTTTAAGACAAAATCTATTGCATTTTAATTCATTTATTAAAAAAGAAAATAGAAAATAGACTTATTAACATAATAAATCTTTAACTGAAATAATAATAAAAATAAGGACAACCAATTTTCTCAAGGATATTTTAAAAGATAAGAATAGATATGGCCATTGATTATTTTAAGTAATTATTTTCTTTATATAATTAAATATGTTCAGATCAGGATGATGGCACTTCTGATAAAAGTCACTCTATAAATTTTACAATTGCTAAATCGACATTTACAAGACATCACTGCATTATCCTTTAGACCATGGCTGGTAATAAAGTCAGAGGAAAAAAGCCACAATTTTATCCAGGGAAAAAGTCAGTGTTATATCCCAGATGTTGGAATGAACAAAAATAAATGAAAATAAAAGACAAGTGTATTTTAACACATAATAACATAACTGTTATGATAGGTATCCTCTCCAACAGATGTAGTCTTGTCAAGAGAAGATAACTCTCCCGTAGGTATAGTGATGCTGCCTTTTATACAGTACCTAATTTACATATTACTACCTCACCCCGCCGAACCTAAGAGGCTTTATAACTTTAGTTGATCTTCTATGAACAACACTGGGAGACATAATACGTCTCTCAGAGTGAGTGAGTTTATTTCTTTTTATAGGAAATCTAGGTCTTAACTGATTCTCTTCATTTGAGTCATCATGATAGCTCTCCCCCCCCCCAGATTTTTCCTCACTACTACTAGATACACTCATTCTCTCCTCCCTTGCCTGTTCTTCACTTTAATATCTCTGGTGGTCTTCCTGATCACTCTCAATATTGGATTCACTTATCCTTTTTTGATACATCTGTTCTTCTGCATCCTCTTCCCCCTGCTTTTCCATAACTTCATGCTCTTTAGTGTTTCTAAATTGGTCTTCGTAAGCCAGCATGTCTTGTCCATTCTTTGTTAACACAGCTGTATTAAATGCCTTTTGCACCACAAAATTTGAATTTTCAGGATTTGAATCCTTGTCCTTTTTGTACCACACACTTGCATTCATTACAAATGACATGGTAATCGGAACTCTTATTTGTCTTCCTCTCAATGTGGCTAGGCTTTGTCATCTGCCTGCATGTGGAATAGCTCTATAATTTAGGAGTAGTCGAGGTAGATAACTCTCTATATTACAATCCACCGAAGAAAATGCTTTTAATCCGATTTTTACCATTTGAACCATTCTCTCCACAATTCCATTTGACTGTGAGTGGTAAGGTGGTGTTTTATAGAGAATGCAGCCAATATGTTTTTTAACCATGCACATAAAATTTCTTCACAAAACTCTGGTGCATTGTTGGATGCCAAGGTTTTTGGAAATTCAACACCTACTTAACAGTATTGGCTTTTCAATCCGCGACTTTAATAACTTCAGGCCAACTTGAATACAAGTTGATTAATATAAAAAATAGTCCTATACTTTGAATGTAGACATGATCCATATGTATTTGTGTCCATGACTCCATTCCCTTTAGCCAAGAGTGAATTTTATTTTGCCTAAATTTCTTTATTTCTGCACATTTTGGGCATCTTTTAGCATACTCTTCCACATCTCTCAAATAGCCTGGCCACCATGCTTGCAACTTCATTTGCATAGCCATTATACCTCCATGTATATCATTGTGCATGGCTTTAATTACTTTTCGCAGAGACTGTGGAGGTACTATTATATCTGTATTACATATAATTCCTTTTTCTATTGTTAATTTCTGTCATGACTCTTTATAATGCCTCTCAGCCAAAGAACAATTATACCATGTATTTCTCTTTATTCTCTCCATAATTCAACACTGGATCTTGCCTAGTTCTCAACCTAAGCTGATTTAAGGGTAATATGTTTGTTTATATCCATCGCAAAATCTTATCCACACAATTTTCACTTGCTTCAACATTTTTACTCTCAAAATTTAGCTGTGGTAATGTATCCACATGTGGAATAGTATTTCCTTTAATATATATGATGTCAAAGTTGAATGCCATAAGCTTAATCACTCATCTTAATATCATGGCAGATGTGACCTTTGGCAACTCTCTTCTGGGGTTGAATATAAATTCCAAAGGCTTATGATCAGATTTTAATAGAAATTTCCTTCCCAGCTAAAAATTTCTAGCTCTTTCTGTGCTCCACATAATTGCCAATACCTCCTTCTCAATATTTGAATAATTAGCCTCTGCTGATGTTAGTTTTCTAGATAACTACATTGCAGGGTGATCCTCCTGTGACAATATTGTGGCTGTAATACAGTAACTGGCATAAGTAATTAACATCACTTCTTTTGCTGGGTTGAAGATTTTAACAACTGGCTTGTTTATGAGTGCTTTTTTTAATATCTCAAAAGCAACCTCCTGTCTTTTTGTCGATTGAAACTTGATATTCTTCTTCTTTATGTCATTAAATGGTTCCACAAGGTCACTATATCACATTAGATATCTGTTACAGAAATTGGGTAATATTAAAAAAGATTCTCTTTTTTTATTTCTCAATGCAGCTATCTCTGATATCTTATTAATGCAAAGTAAAGCAGATCTCAAAAGTAAAACAGAGCAAGTTTTGAGAAAATTAAATAGTGTGGATATGAAAATGAATCATGATAAATGTGAGTTTAATTGTGGAAAAATTTTATACCTAGGATATCAAATCTCCAAAGATGGCATATCAGTGGATGATAAATCTTTACTCTTAATGGTAGATGAGACTGTTTTAGTAATCCAATAGCAGTGTTCATTGTAGTGACTTCTTGAAACATGCTATAAATTTTTATCTGATTATATAATGATTTAAGGTCAAATTTAGGAAAGTATTTTGTACCAGCAAACTCATGTCATGCTGTTTCAATGTTTGGCAATGGGAACGAATCCAAACAGATCTGGTGATTGACGCCCATCTTATATTTGCCACAAATTCTGTTGGGCTTGTGTATCGCCACAATAGGTGAAGCCCAATTGTTACCACCCTGGCTGACTTTTCCTAATATTCCTTGTTCCACCATTTTGTTCAGCTTAGCTACCAATAAGGGTAGCATGTGAACAGGAACTTTCAGGATTGAAAATACATGGGTTGACTGCTTTCTTTAAGCTGAATATTCACCTCATATCTCCTTAATAATAAAATTTCCAGTTCTGCAGACTTCATTGTATTTATCAGCTTCAATGTATCCACTCTTAACACATCAATTCCTAAAAGACCATGACTTTTGATGTTCTCCATCATCATGATGTGTATTATCTCGAATCTTTTTTTATCTTAAACATGCATTCACAGCATCCTAAAATTTTGATGACTGACCCATCAAATTGTTTCAACTGGTCACATTTCTTTAAATTTAGTCCACCCATTCTTTCCCAAAACTTTATCGGTATCAACATAACATCTCTTCTAGTATCCACCTGCATGAGTAAAGTTACTTTGTTCAGTTTCACCATTTCCTTACCTTTATCCTGTGCTTTTATCTAAAATACTTCTGTACTTTCAATCGGAGGATCTATATTTTCCAATTTTTCCACTCGCTTTTCACATGTGCATACTGTCTGGAAATGATTCCTTCTTTTACACATAAAACACCATTTCCCAAAGGCTGGACACTTATTCTTGCTCTTTTCATGTTCCTTATTGCAATATCTGCATACAAGTAAGCTTTTAGTAGCACTGTAAGTCTCCATGCTGCCTTTGAAGGCATTACATTTTTTAATCCTTTCCAATTGTTGTAATAACTCCACACATGCTTCCAGATTCATATAAGCTTGAAACCACTCTAGAATTTTACACTTGTATGAGATGTCAGACATTCCTTCAGTCTTAGCAAAATTAGGTCATTTTGATAGACATTTTTTCCAAACACATTCTTTCAAACTCACAATATCTCGATGCTTCTTTCAATTGTCTGTCAATATACTGACCAAGCATAGAATTGAATATAATATGGGAACCAGCAATAAGGAGTGCCAGAGAAAAGCGATAATAACAACAAAAATTGCAATATGAGCACTGATAAAAAATGGTTGCTGAAGACATTAAGTTTATAATACCCAGAAATTTATACACAGATGACAAGGACACATGGCACAGTGGATAAAGGTGTTGGTTAGTTCAATACCCGGTTAAGGCAGTGGAGAACTTGGACAGGAGAATTAACAGGAGATAACTGATAACTGACAAACATTAGACATGGCACGTGGAACTAGAACAGTCTGCCCCAGTGAGCGAAATAAAGGGTTCAGTTCAACATTCCAACCACCTGAAGAAGGCCGGAGTGTACAACGTCCGAAACATTGTAATAAATATGGCGACAAAGATGAGGACAATAGTCCAAATAATGTAAATAGTGTTCTTTCAATTGCTATACATATTGCATAATAATTTTGTCCAGTCTTCGTCTACTTTCAAGAAATTCAGTTCTTTCCTCTCTAACCAATCTTTTTATGGTCATACATTTGCTTTTATGATGGCAGCAATTTCTTCATATGCTAAGCTTCCAACACTTTGGAATAGACCATGACAGAGATTTTTTTATGGTCTCATATCTCACTGAGGCCAAAAACAATTTCTGTAACTTCATTTTCTTGTCCACTAGCTTTGGTGTCCTTTAACATTTTAAAACTCGCTGACACTGTGAAACACCTAAGCCAGGTTTCTATATATTCAGGATCCTCCATTGTGATTAAGCAACTGATTGCTGATGCCATATTGTTATGATAGGTATTCTTGCTGACAGATGTAGTCTCATCAAGAAAAGATAATTCTTCCATAGGTATAGCAATACTGCCTTTTATACAGTACTTAATTACATATCACTACAATAACTTTTATTCATTTACTACCTGAGAACCACAAGGATTAGTTTGGGATTTAAACCATGAATTGCCATGTGTATATCAGCTTGTTAAAATGCTAAATTCAGAAGTAACTGCTCCAATGAGTGGACAAAGGAAGTAGCTCAACTGTATTTTGAGTTATTGTCCTTTATAGGAGGATTAAATCAGCTTCCCCTAACACACAGAAAAACGGTCACAAAAAGTGTCTAAGAAAACAGTCTCAATGTATATGATAATTTGAATTTTTATATTTACATATGTATTCAATGTTTTTACTGCTAATGATTAAAACGAATATCTTAACCGACATCATGAAGAAACTCTGCCACAAACTCATTAATTTATCATCAGTTCTCAATATTCCTTTACTGAGAATGATTGACATATTAGCCTTAAAAGTATCAAGGTATAGGGGCTCCACAGAAAACAGTTCCCCTTTATGTTCCCCTTGAGCTTGGGACAAAGAAAAAATCTTACTGTGCCAGGTTGGATGAGTAGGGAGCAATGGTCATCATTTTCAGGACCTGGGAGCCATCAAGAGGGCTGTGGCAACAGAACTGTGGAGAATTTTGAGAGAATCCTTCCAGGAGTGCATGGAGGAATGGCAGAGAAACATGAGAAAGCGTGTTAGACTTGAGGGGAATAATTTCAAAAGTAGTAGTTTGGATTTGACATAAATTTTTTGTACACTTCAGTCCTGTTACTTCTCAGACACATGTCATATACCATTTTCCCATAAATGTATATGTAGGTATATATGTAATATATGGGCATGTGGCTGAGTGGTTAGAATGTCCACATTCTGACCATGAGACCCAGGTTCGAATCTCACCATGGTCACTTAGTCAGGAAGGAGACTTCTTGATGTTATCAGACTGGAGAGGTTGTTCCCGGTGTGCATCACCTTTGGAAAGTGCCTGAAAACCATACCACGGGCTGACCAAAGCCTTGAGAATGGACATCGATAGCTGTGCTAGCACAAACTCACAAGTCATCATGCTGAGGGCATGAGCGTGCTGGCCTTGTTCAAATTGTTGATCATGTTAGATAACACGCTCTTTCATAGAAACTGTAACTAAGGTATGCTCAGAATAGTTGCAGTATAAACCACAAGTGGGCTCTGTGGGTGTTGAATAAGCACAAATATGCCTGAGCAAGCGTCTGCAATAGGGACTGGCTAGCTGCCCTAGTAGACGAGTATCCTCAAATACGAGTAGCCAGCTATACATACACATATATATATATATGTAATAAAAGTAATATTTACTTTTTGATTGTTTGTCTTTTGTTATTATATTTTGCCATTTTATATGAAAGATCCTGTGTTATATAAACCAATACTGTGTTGTATAATAATAATGATATTGTACAACTCTTATTTCTTTGGAGTTCTGCCATTCACAGGAAATAGATGGTGAAGAAAGGGAACAGCGGCAGCTGATGATAGCAAACTGTCACAACAATTTGATCTCCTCAGATACTGATGATGGTTGGAGTGATGGAGATGCAGGGAAAATTAGACAAGGTATGTCAAAATTTGTGTATAATTTGGGGGTCAGTAATATTCTAACTTGTTACATTGCTAAATGTCTTTATCTTACTTCTGAGATAAAAAAAAGAAAATAGAAATTTTAAGATAAGGGGAAAATTGAATGATAACAGTAACATTTTGTCTCCCAAAGGACTTTCTTCAGACTAATATAAAATGGCATCAGTCTTTGATATATATATATATATATATATATATATATATATATATATATACACACTACAGTTCAAAAGTTTGAATCCACCCTCAGAATTACCATGGGATAAACTTGACAGAAGAGTGAAAAAATGAAAAAGTGCTCTTAGAGATATTGAAAAAAAAATAGAATCAATTATCAAACTTTGAGAAACTTTTGCAATGAATGTCAAAAATGTGTGCTGCAGTAATCAAGGCTAAAGGAGGATATTTTGACGAGAGCAAATTTAATCATAAAATTTTGTTTTTCTTTTAGTCATAATAAAATTTCTAATAAAAAATCATGTCTCACTTTTTAACCATGTACAATAATTGTCTCTATTTAAAGTACAAAACAATTACATTTTGGGCCAATTTAAAAAATTACCATGGGTGTCCTCAAACTTTTGAACTCAAGTGTGTGTGTGTGTGTATATATATATATATATATATATATATATATATGAGTAAAAAGACAAGAGGAAAAAACTATTCTTAGCTGCCATGTTTCGTCCTCTGAGGACTTTATCAAGGCCTTCAGAGGATGAAATACATCAGCTAAGAATATTTTTTCCTCTTGGCTTTTTACTTGTATTGTTCCTTTACAGATACCCTCTATCTGAAAATAATTTAGGCATATATACAGTATGCAATGGAAAATTGTCACCATTTTATATTTCTAATTTTGCACATGTGTGTTGTTTGTGTTTGATTTTGTCAACTGCACAATATAGTAGGGTCAGTTGGTCACCATCTGTGAGAGAAAGAGCATCATGACCCAATTCACTTTGCCAGAAATTTGGAAACAGCATGCTGTACTGCTTGACATTTGCACCAGTAGCTCCAATATGAACATTTCAGAGTGTTTGGATGTCTATCTGAGGAGAGTGCAGAGGCTGCTGTTTCCCCAAAAGATGTATGGAGAGTGATGAAAACTAAACATCCAGTCAACATCATGGTGTTTGGAGTGATGGTGACATTATACCTTCATTCATCTTCCCACAAGGCCTTAGACTCAACAAGTGACTTGAGGAGATAGTGCTCGCCTGGGTAAAGAGGGTGGCTACTGGAAGAACCTATGTCTGACAAGAGGACTCTGCACCATGCCACACAAGCTGGAGAACCCAGTCATGGCTGTCATACAATTTCTGTAACCACCTCACTCCTTACATCTGGCCATTTAACTCCCCAGACTACAATCCCCTTGATTATTATATGTAGGACAGTGTTGAGTGAGAGACAAACAAAACCCCTTGTAACCTCAAAGATGAACTGAAGGCAAAGATTATAGCAGCATTCACCAACTTAAACAAGGAGACCATCCAGAAGACTTTCAGGAGATTCTGAAGTTGTCTGGAGGCTGTGATTGAAGCCAATGACGATTTTATTGAATAAATTTACCCTTTAGCACTTCAAGATATTTTTTATTATGTAATTTTGGTAAATATATCTGTTAAAATGAAATCTCAGTGTTATTTTCATTTTTGTGTAATTTAGATGACAATTTAGCCATCATACCATATATATATATATATATATATATATATATATATATATAAATGATAGAAATTAAGGATGATTTGAGATAATTATAATTAAGTAATTCATCGAGTCTAGAAGAAACCTCAACAGAATGCAGAAAGCACTGGATGGCTGTTTCGTCCTATATTTGGGACTCATCAGCAGTGCACATCCACTAGTGAGAATTGAAACCGGTACAGTTACGATATGAGGCAAACGTCATACCAACTGTACCAATGGGCCTCGGTGACAAAGAGGTAATGAATTACTCTCAATATTGCGCCGCTTATTCATATATTCCATGGTAGAACTCATCAGAGTTTCCCTTACCCATAGGACTGTGCCCAGAGACCCATAACTACTATCCCCAAGCTGCTCCATCCAAAGCATTAGAAGCCGGTTCAAGCAAGGATATACAAATGATAGAAATTAAGGAGGATTTGAGATAATTACGATTAAGTAATTCATTGAGTCTAGAAGAAACTTCAACAGAATGCAGAAAGCACTGGACAGCTGTTTCGTCCTATATTTGGGACTCATCAGCAGTGCACATCTACTACCAAGAATTGAAACCCGGACATTTATGATATGAGGCAAATGTCATACCAACTGTATATATAATTATTATTTCATTAAAGATGAATGACAATGTACTGCAGTTAAGCTTTTTATTTAATTTCTCTTGTGTTCATATAAGTGTTTTCTTCAAGCATGTATACAGCTACAATGTACTGACTGAGTTTGTAAAATAATAAAACATTCCCATCACTCTAGAAATATATAAAATAATCTACACATTCAGTTTTAAAAAAAAATTTAAAACATCTATGATAATGATTGATAGCCAAAATTGCTCAGATAAACAAGACATTTGTGCAATTTTTACAGACTTTATGTCCAGAAATGAAAACACTTACATGAACAAAAAAAAAATTTAATTAAAAACTTAATAGCAGTACCTTGTCAGTCATCATTCATGAAGCCTGTATGTATATATATATATATATATATATATATATATATATATATATATATATATATACCCATATACTAGGGCACTGACCAATCACTATTGAAAATGCCTGCTCAGGTGCATTTGCATTTGTTCAACACTTACAGAGCCCATCTCTATATACGCGCGTGTGTGTGTGTGTGTGTATATATATATATATATATATATATATATATATATATATATGATAAAAATATAGTTTTAAGGTGTGGTATATTTATGCATTAAAGTGTTTAATATCAGAGAGAGAGTATATTAAATATAAAAGTGAGTCAACACCCAGCAGTAACAGTCTGTTTCATGCTTAAAAGCAATCTCCAGGCCATGTATGTTGTGCTTTGTCTCGACTATTTATATATGCTAGTCAAGGGAACATTTATTGTAACTGTTACTGGGTGGCTGGTAATGATTATGTTTCAACTTATTTTAAAGGCTATTGAATAGAAATAATTGTGAATCTGAATGTGGTTATTTGTAGCTTTTTTTGTATTGTTATATATATATATATATATATAGAGAGAGAGAGAGAGAAATTTTCTAATTGCCTGAAGATCACAAAAGTGTGAAACTTGAATAGTGACTTGAGCTGTCTTTGATTTAGGGTTAACATTGTGAAGCTTTTTTTTTGCTCATTTTAGTTAGATAATCTATGCACTGAGTATTTTAATTTACAGCATAGGTAGATGTTTGCTTTTTGATATTTTTTCTTTTTTCTTTCCTTGCTCAGGATATATTTTTCACCTAAGGTATTAGGTCTTCTTTTTAGTTATCATAGATAAATATAGACATGGAAATGATCTAAATAAAGAGATACAATTAATCATATATGTGAGTGATTACATACACATACAGGTGAGTAAATAACTATTTATTTAATCAATGGTGTAGACAAAACAATGCTCAATGTAGTTAAACAGTGCTATAAAGTATTTATTAATAATTACACATATACTTACATTTAAAATATGACTCAGAGTTTTATGGTTTTCCCATTCAGCAGGTACAAAAAGTTATGTGCATATATATATATATATATATATATATATATATATATATATATATATATATATACATACACACACACAAAAATGTTGGTTCAATCAACAGACTACTTTCCAAAAGTCCTAGTATTCATATAAAATACAAATTTTATTGTGACCTAATTATGTACAATAATGGATCATATGCAATATAGGTGAAAAATTCAACTAGAAAAATTAAAAGTAAATACATTTTCTTGAATATTCATGCCAGTAAACAAAAATAAATAAATTTACTGAGTTACTGTTTAACAAATAAAAATAGAGTCTAATCAAATATGAGTATCCACTAAAAATAACATTTAAAGTGATAGAATGTGTGTGGTTATGGTGTATATATATATATATATATATATATATATATATATATATATATATATATATGACCAATGACTTGATGCTACACAATTTTCTTAAAGCTTTAAATATCAATGATGAAAGCATCTTAATACTAAAAAGGCAAATATCTAAAGGACCTTTCAGCCAACCCTTCATCAAAGATCAATCATTGGTGAAAGCAATAACTTTTTCTAATATGAACAACAAAAAACACTTTTAAGGGACTAATAGAAGAATAAACTGATGACCAATAAAAATAAAAAAAATAATCAGAAGGTTTATATATATGGGGGTAAGTAAAAAATTGTCTGCACTTTCAGCATATATGTGTTGTGAGTGTGGATAATTTTTTACTTTCGCATTTATATATATATATATATATATATATACATACATATATATGAGATAACGATATATATTTTATATATCAAGAACAGTATTGAGGAAATTGTATAACAAAGTGGGGAAAGTTTACTTGTGACACATCGGACTCCATCACCTGTAATAATTCTCACAAATAATAAATAGGAGAAACCTCAAGGAATCTAAATAAAAGATTATATGAACACAAAAGGGACAGTTTACAAAATAATGCATCAAATGCATTGGCTGCCCACCATAATGAGACTGAATTTTGACATAAAAGATGCTACTCTGATGAAAGGAGAAAATAATTCACTACAACGTAAATTTCTAGAGAGGTGCCTTAATCACAAGGTCATCTACAGTAAAATTTGCGCCCTGGCTCTTACAACATTTTAACATTCCTGATAGATCTTCTAATATCACAGTGTGAAATTCCTACTTACAAAAGTGATAAAAAGAAAAAGACTCTAAATGAATTTGGCTAGATAAAAAAAAAAAAAATTCTAAAATTCCCAGCAGCCCTCTGTCGTGCACATGTGTAGTCCTACCAACATAAATTTAGTCTGATGAAGTCCTGAAGGACAAAATGCATCACAAGTAAACTTTTTACACTTTATCATATCGTTTTTCTTATATGTATATATATATATATACTAAACCATGTCATGTGCAATCTTCAAATTTGGTACTTCCACTAGTTTGCTTATATATATTTTTATATTAACCCTTACATTTAGGATTATAACATTTTAACAAATGATGAATTGCTTTCTAGATGATATTTGCTATTAAACTAATTTTTCATTTTCTTTATTGATTGTAAAATAGACATTTCTTATAGATTTTGTTTTGGTATAAGTAGTTAAGTGCTGTGAATTTAATTATGCCTTGTTTTATTAAACAAGTCACCTGACCATCAACACTAAGCAATCAATTTAAACTCTTAGACTTCAGTTTTAGAATAAACAACATTGTACGTTGTACCTTCAGAAGGTTGATAATTACAAAAATGTCCTCTAACCATTACGATGACACTGAAAAAAATGTTGAAATTACAAATTTAAGAGCTACATATATAAGGTATATTTATACAGCAAGTATTCATTAAAACAAGTTTGATCAAAAAGAATCAACAAGGTTGGCCTGTTTAATTTTTTATTGTATTTTTCCAATATTTAAATAAAGTCTGGACTATTGTACTTGAAATTGTCCATAGGTTCATTCACATTGTGTTATCATTTTGTCTAAGTACTTTTGACTATCTCAATCATTTTCAAGAATCAATATAACTGTGTGGTAGGCGGAATTCCTTTGTCTTCATCCTGGTATTCTTTAGAAAGCTGAAAGTTTGAAATAGTCTACAATGACATCATGTGTAATAGTTATTGGGAATGAGGCCACACAGAAAGAATGCAATTTATTTCTTTTTTTTTTCTTTTTTATTATTGATAATTTATTTTATCATTAAAAAAAATTAGACAGATCTTAGGTCTTTTTAATCAAATTTGTTTGTATATATACCATAAAATACAGTTGTAGTTGGTAAATTTCAACTGTGATAAAGTTGGTAATAAAAAGTGTTCAATACAAGGTAGAATCTATAAAACATAAAATAAATTAAGAATAAAAAATAAAATTATTTTTTATTCTTTATTAATCTTACATTTTTTATATATATATATATATATATATATATATATATATATATATATATATATATATAATCAAAATCAGGAGATCAGTTGAATCCATTACCTTGGTTTCAACCTCAGGAAATTTTTATAAATTGACCTCCCAACACTATTTTTAAAAAAAACTAATGAACAGTCTTATTTTAAAAAATAAATAAACAAATGCAGAACATTGGGTGTGATAGAAAGGGAAGTTGAGGATGTGAAGAAGTAGAAGGGAGAGGAGAAGAAAACCAAGAGTATTATAAATATATCGGTGTGTGCGTGGGGGGGGGTAATTGAAATGTACATACTTTTTTATCCAGCCTCATACAAGCTAAAGAGGATTTTTTTTTGTATGTATGCAAGGGCTCATGATTCAAGTTCTGATTCAAAAGGTTCTTTGAATTGAGAAATGTCATTATCCCTAATAATCATATTGCTAATTTTTGAACCAGAAATTTGTGAGTCATGAGCCCTTGCATACATACAAAAAAATTTCTCTTAAGCTTGTATGAGGCTGGCTAAAAAAGTATGTACGTTTCAATTAACCCCACTACTGATCCTTTTATAATACCCTTGCTTTTCTTCTCCTCCCCTTTCTTTTACTCCTTCCTTCTTCACATCCTCCTCTTCCCTTTCTATCACACTCAACATTGTGCATTTGTTTATTTGTTTTTAAAAAATAATATAGTGTTCATTAGTTATCTTCAAATATAAAGCATTGGAAGACCAGTTGATAAAAATCACCTGGAGATACCATAAGGTTGAAACCAAGGTAGCGGATTCAACTGATCTAATTTTTAAAGTTAAAAGCTCTACATGTTATTTTCATTTTATTTTTTTCACACATGTATTGAGTACTTTTTAATGCTACTGTTTCCTGGTCTGATTCAACTCTGACCATTAATCTTTTGTAGGGTCATTTGAAATATGCCCAAGAAATATTGAGGAACTTAAAGAAAGAATTAAATGTGTAGTCAGATCATTCTGTTCAAATATAATGTATATCATTTGAACTATTTTTATTTTTCAGGTCAGGATTTGTCTGGATTTTGCAAATCCCACTCAGCTTCCAAAGATCAACAAAAAAGACCATTACACAAACGATTCTCCTGCCCCAGAGACATAAACACCATTGCAAGGTGTTTAAAGTCATCAAATATTGGACATATTCCCGATTGCACTCAGTGGATTGATCTACGGTTATCAACTGGGGAGAATGAGACAACTGACACACAAATTCAGTCACAGTTACAACACATGCAACCGAAACATATCTGATACATTTTCTCTAAAAAAAAAAAAAAAAAAAAAAGCAAACACCAACAAAATCATCTTTCCATATGTATGTGTGTATATATATATATATATATATAAATATCTGAATTTATACATATTTGTTTTATACAATATATTGCCTGACATTTGAAAAAAAAAAAAGGAAAAATAACAAAAAAGGAAATTTTTTTAAAAGTTTTGATTTCTACAAAGATGTCTTTAAAGTACAATCAAAACTCCTACCCTCACAAACCCTTTCCTTTGACACACCTGTAATTTGATTTGATAGATTATGGGCAACACCTTTACCCTTGGAGTGACTCACTCAGACTTTCAGACAATAAACCAATTTATGAACAGTACTCTTCTTTTTTTTACAGGGATTATTTTATCATTAAATGAATTGGCACACATTCTAAATCACAGAAGACACTGAAGAGTTCTTATGTGAGATTCAGTGCTTACACACAAGTCATTGGATTACTCTGAAAAACAAAATTCTCTATGAAATGTTATAAAATAGGAAAATGTCTCATTGAAAAGTTTGAAATTCCAAGAAAGCAAAAAGGGAACCATGTGATAGATGCAGAAAACCATTTCATGAAAAACAATCTTTTCTTTTCATTACTTCAAAATATTTTTCAAGTTAAAACATAAAAACAACAACAAACAAAATAATGAGAAAAATATTTGTAAATTTTTTTTTACCAGGTATCATATTTTGTAAAAGCATTAACAAAAAAAAATTCAACATTATACATTTCACAATTAAAAAAAATATATATATAAGAAATCATGGCTCAATTTTCACAAAAGAAATTTAATTTGAAATCTTTTGGAATAATCTAGAAAAATTGTTACTCTTGAAGCTTTCTATACTTGAAAGAGCAATAATATCGGACTTGAGAAACCTATCTTCCTGAAAAGCTTCAACTTACAATATGCAGCTGATCCTAGCATTAAAAGATCATCGGGGAGAGAACTGGCTGGTCACATTCAGTGCCTCGAAAACCAGACTAATGATCTTCTGCCATCACTGAGCAGACCCTGAATTTTCACCTATCGCAATGAAATGGGTATTCTCTCAGGTAGGCCCCATGTCTTAAGCACCTATTGGGACTTAAACTCAACCCAGACCCAGTAGTATTGCTAGCAAGGATGATAGTGGTGAACCACCCCAGGCAATACATTTAGGATGAAGCACTTTTGGTTCTGCTGTATAAGCCTGTATAGAAAACGCAAGAAAAGTTACTTTGTAGAAATTAGTAGTTTTCATTTTAGAAATAAAGGTGATCCTAATTTTTTTTATACTTTTTGATTTTTTTTCACTCCATGTGGATTTTGCTTTTTGTCTAGCAGTTACTTTTAAAGTTTAAGTATGTTTGGTGTGTATTTAAAGCATACTAGTATATTTGACTATGTGAAAATAATATTATATTGGTACACAAGCTAATTGATATATATATATATATATATGTATTATTAAGCATTTCACCCCAAGCAAGGCGGGATGCCACTAGCACACAAAGGGTTACAGAGATTGTGAGTGAGAGGAAAGGATGAAGAGAAGGACAAGGAATAGACCAAGGCATCTGGAGATGTCAATTGACATTACACTTGAATAGTTGGAGATTATATCTATCAGGGAAACAAGTAAGAGGAAGGGAATTTCACAGACTGGAGGTGCGAGGCATGAAGCTATTGGAGTAGAAGAGATGGCTACATTTAACTGTTTCAACAGTGATGGGGTGGGACAAAGATGCCAGCATAGTTGCACATTTAAATTCATGCAGTCTGGGAACTAGCAAAAGTAGCTTGTCGGAATAGTTACGGTGAAATTATTTGTAATATATGTGGGAGTTCCTCTGCAATATGTTGTATCTTTTGTAGGGGGAGAGCAGGGGCAGCAAACCCAACGGCTGGCTCAGGTGGCACACACCCTAGCTATACTAGTGTCTAGATCTCAAGTGGAAGTTGTACATATGACCCTTTGCTGAAGATACTGGAAAAATGGTAGCTGTCCTTTACTATTATCTACTACCTTTATAAGAGCCAGATCAGGCCGAAAATGGTATATTGCTGCCATATGTGGGCAGGAGCTGCTCAGTGTTCATTTTCCACTCTTGATAGAGTCCAAAAACATCTCCACTTCCTTGTGGGTGACAAATTATTTTCCACCCTGCAATCCCTTTTCCATAGACAAAACATTGCAAGCCTCTCACTTTTCTATCACCATTTCCATGGAAAGTATTCAGATAAACTACATTCTTTAGTTTCACCAGTTCTAACCTCTACGGCTCAGACCTGCCACCCCATGCACATTGTAGCAAACCACCCTCATTCACTTCATATTCTATTGATGATATGTAAGTTCCACTTAAGCAGCTTCTTTTCACAAACCCCTTCTTTGTGGAACTAAATCCCAAGAGGATGATTCCCCGATCACTACAATCTTAACTTTTTCAAGACTAAGGTCAACTGTTATATTCCCCATAAATGTCTTAATCTGTAACCTTCGACCTTGAATGGCTCTTGTACAGAATGAACATCATTGTCAAAAAAATATCAAGATTGCATAGACAAATATCCTCTTTAATAAATAGATTGCTACTTGATAGTCAACCAGCAAATAGGTGCACTGAGAATTTACTAACGAGGCTTTGACATGCAGGGCTCAATTAATATTTTGGTTTAATTAATTGAATTAATTTATGTACTTTAGAAATATAATGAAGTACTTTTTTTTTTTGAAATGACCACATTTATGTGGTCTTAAGAGTTTAAATAAGAAATAAATTACTGTTTGTATTGCAAAATGATTTTAATAATGTATATACAAACTCTGAAACCAGGAAAAAAATCTACCATTCTGTCTTAAGTGTTTGTAACGATAAGGTGCCTGATAATAATTATTGAATAATGAAAAAAGAAGCCATGTCTCATGCATGTAGAACACACACACACGCACACCCACAGATATATGCACATCCACACACACGCATAAATTCCCATATTATAACAAAATGCTTATACACTGAAACGATGCAAAATCAAAATGGAAATGAACAAAGAAATGACTGACAATTGCATTACATTCTGTGATTTTAATTATGGGAAAAAAACTGTTTTTAGAAGAGAAAAAATGAACATTTTTTCTGGACATTTTTGAAGATGTACAGATGGTGTAATGAATAGTGAATCAGAATGAGAATTCGGAGAGCCGTGTTCGAATTCCATTTGGGTTCATTACATTCACTTACATGCAAATAACCTTGAGAGAGATATGAATCCATCTCTTCTCCCCCAGTTATGGGTTAAATAGTAGGAGTTGCATCTGGAAAGATTCATTGATATTCTCAAAACAAAAATTGGTAATGCAATATTCACACATCAAAAAAAAAAAAAATGATTATTTTTTACAATTCAAAATATGTTTCGGCTTTAAATAACCCACAAAAGATTGACAAGCTGTAAAAAACAAAAACAAATCACAAATCACTCTGGACATTTTTGAACACTCAAAGGGAACACCACATTTGAATGTGGTCTCTGTTTAACAGCAAACCTGCCTTAAATGAAAAAAAAGAAGACATTTTTTGCCAAAAAGTATGAAGTACAGACAGATGCATTAAAGCATTGAAACCCATTCTCATAAACAGCTTAAAAAATTCATACACACGGAAATACGCATACATATAATTTTTTTAATATTTTTTATTGTTCAAAACACTCACACACACACACACACACACACACACACACACATATTTAGGAAATGAATTAAATCCGACAAATTTTTAATTTATTTGTTTAAACGTTATTTTTTAGATGGATACTCATATTTGAGCAGATACTCTGTTTTTATTTATTTATTAAACAATATATTTATTTATTTACATCTACTGGCCTGAATATTTGAGAAATCTTATTAGAAAAATATGCTGGAAGACGCATATTTTTCTAACATTATTTCTTGAAAATTCAGGATGGTAGATATAAATGAATAAATATATTGTTTCAAAATATACTCTCTTGGCATCTTCAGTCACCAAGGAAAGCTTTTGTCCTGATATTGCAGTTGACACTAATCACCAAATAACAGTATATTTAAATTCATGATTGTGTTGTCACATCCTGCTATAGCAACAGCAAAAAACAGGCTTAACTTAAATCGAGATCATAGCTACTGCAGTTTATATTTGAGGAGCCACCAGATATAATGGAAGGAGAAATAATACTTATAAAATAAGAGTGCTAAAAGTTAATAAATAAATGAAAACAGAGCATCTTCTCAAATATGAGTATCCATTTAAAAAATAACGTTTAAACAATATATATACTGGGAAAATTTATGACAAAGTGAAAAATATTTTTCATGTGACACATTTTGATGTGTTTACACATGCATATGAGAGAGGATGCCGAAATTTTTAATTTAAATTTCAAAAAATTTCTTTAAATTTAAGAATTTTAATTTTTACATTTCAACATTCCCTCTCATTCACATGAATGTGTAATCACATCACAGTAAACATGACTTTAGTTCGCTGAAGTCTTAAATGTCAAAATGAGTCACAAGAAAAGATTTTTCGAATCTATCATAGATTTTCATAAAATTTTTTTTGATATACAAAAATTTATATTTTGTTTTCCCATATACAGGGGACAGCAGAAATACAACCCACATAATGATATGACATTAGTGGCAATGGTGTTTTCATCTAGATAATGTCTTACCATTATATGGGAGATATTTCTGCCACACCCAGTATATATATATATATATATATATAGTTACATGCTGCTAGTGCTAATATCTTGTTTTTCTTCTACCCAGTCAACAAATAACTACAAGGACAGAAAATTTTTGCTCATGAATAGAATGTTGCCTAGCTTTGTATTGAGACCAAAGACCATTGAATTTTCTACAACTAAAAACTATTTTGCTATATGCATACAAACACTCACGCCCATGCAAATATTCCAAACATCTGGGTTTCCAA